TGGCTATGAAGAGAGTAGAGAGGGGCCGCCTGGGTGGCTCAGTCAGTTCAATGTCCAGCTCTTGATTTCAGCTCAGATCCTGATCTTGGAGTCGTGAGATGGGGCGTTCTTTCTCCCTCTGCCCCTCCCTTGTTCACAATTTTGCGTTCTCTCTCTTAAAAATTAATGAATCAATCAATAAAGTAGATGAAAGAGAGTGGGGAGAGAGCGAGCATTAAGTGGGAGGGGAGAGCAGTGTCAATTTAGATAAGGTGTTCCAGCAAGGGAATCCTCTCTACTGAAATTGAACAAAGATCTGAATGAAATGAGGAAACAAACCTGTGAATTACTGTGTGAGTAGTGTGCTAGGCTGAGGGAACAGTGAGTGCTTTTTCTGTTTTTTTTTTTAATGTCCAATAGTAAGGCCAACAAAACTGTGATGAAATATTTTTCCATCCCTATTATATTTTTAAATGGTGTTTTCAGGATACCAAAGTGACACAGCTGGTTTAAGCAGTTGGTTATTGCACAAATGTCATTAGAGTGAGCAATCAGTTAAGTCTCATTTCAGCAGATGAAATGTTTAAATATAAATATACCCTGTAATCATGTCTAATTTGTTTATCATTACCTTCTCCTTCTCTGGTGACTAGCATTAGAATGCCACACATGATATGGTTCAGTTAAAATTTTAGAGTGAATTTTTATGCCCACATATACTTTAATACTTAAAAACACAAATCATTCCCCCTTCAAACCTTTTCAAGAAGTTCTAAGGGAGGATTTCAAACAAACCCAAGGTCTCTTCCCTTCGCCCTGGGTGTGTGGGGACTTGCTTTAAATGACTTTTCAAAAAATTTAGGTATTACTCATGCTGTAAGACTGACCCATTTAAAATATACAATTTGTTACATTAACAACTCAGGTAACAACAGATGTTGGCGAGGATGCAGAGAAAGAGGATCTCTTTGGCACTGCCGGTGGGAATGCAAACTGGTGCAGCCACTCTGGAAAACAGTGTGGAGGTTCCTCAAAAAATTAAAAATAGAACTACCCTACCACCAAGCAATTGCACTACTAGGTGTTTATCCAATGGATACAGGTGTGCTGTTTCCAAGGGACACATGCACCCCAATGTTTATAGCAGCACTATTGACAATAACCCAAGTATGGAAAGAGCCCAAATGTCCATCGATGGATGAATGGATAAAGAAGATGTGGTATATACATAAAATGGAGTATTTCTTGGCCATCAAAAAGAATGAAATCTTGCCATTTGCAACTACATGGATGGAAGTAGAGGGTATTATGCTAAGCGAAATTAGAGAAAGACAAATATCATAAGAC